CTCACAGAACTCTGCTGGCACAATTTTCCTCCAACAGATTTCGACTCTCTTGCAATCCCTTAAAACATGCAAAATATCCTCTCTTTTATCAGAATAGAAGCCGCACCTATCGTCTTGTTGAAACCCTCTAACAGCACGTAAACTATTGGTAAGCAACCGACCCTACGCATAGAGCCAGAGAAAGGTTTTACATCGTTGAGGTATGTGTAATTTTTAGAGTTTGCGCCAATCCATCCGAACATTAGAGGGGGTCTGGTCACACAGTAGAGCATAGGCCGATTTGACAGAAAAATCACCATTTGAATTCCCCTTCCATCTTACAGAATCCACATCCTCACGGCAGACCATAGGGTACAGGTGCTGAATATACGAGGTAACAGAAGCTGGCAAATACCGCGTAAACTTCTGCCAAATCCACTCACTGGTGTCATTGATGTAGTCTGCAACCAGGTCGTCCCGTACATTCTCGGGGATGTTACCGACAGTAAGATTAATAAGTCTGTCGTGTTTTGGTAGTTAGTAATCCTTCCAAAAATGAATCTTAGAGCCACTACCAAGCTTCCACTCCACACCCTTCACAGTCAGGTCCCAAGTTTTCTGAATGCCTCGCCAGGTTTGGGAAGCCTTTTGCTTTCTCTCAACTTTTGGGATGATGTCTTCACCACATCTGTACTTTTCTCTCAGGAATTTAACCCAAAGAGCATCTCTCTTTCTCATAAGTCCCCACCCTAGTTTCATCATATAGGTCTTATTTTGTTTCCGCGCACTACGCAGACCTAATCCTTCTTCTTCCTTTCGTTTACAAATATCTTCCCAATCAACAAGATGAATTTTCTTAGAGTTGTTGGTGCTAACCCATATAAAATCTCTGCATCTTTTATCAATTTCAGCAGAAACAGTCAATGGTAAAGGCACCGTTTGCATGGTATATTGCGGAATAGCCCCAATAACCGATGAGACCAAAGTATGCTTAGCTACCATTGACAAAGTATTAGCCTTCCATCCAGACAATCTATTCATCTTCTCAATAACAAACTTGTACGTTTGTTTGGAAACCTTCTTATGGTTCCAAGGTACTCCTAAATATTTTCCTAAGTCTTCCGTAGGAGTAAATCCTAAGAATGGACTTATTTCTTCTCGTCGAGTGTGATTCACATTTTTAGAGAAGAAAACTCTTGATTTTGTCGCATTCACTTTTTCTCCAGAAGCCAAACAGAAATCATCTATACATGCTTTAATTAAACCAACTTGCTCCATGCTAGCTTCGGTAAACAATATAAGATCATCTGTGAAGAAAAGGTGAGAGATTTGTGTACCATTCTTTTTTAGCTGAAAGGGTCGCCAGTGCCCTTCTGAAACTTTATTCTGTATGAGGTGTGCCAATTTCTCCATCACAAGGACAAAGAGGTAGGGCGAAATAAGATCTCCTTATCGAATACCACGTGAAGGATTAAAACTCTCACCTCTAGATCCATTCCACAAAATCTGCATCTCAACCAATGAAAAAAAAAAAACCGGTGAACCGGTCTCTGATCCGGTCTGGTTGAGAAAAAAACCAGACAATACTCAAACCGGTAAAAAACCGGTTCAACCAGTAAGAACCGGTAAAAACCGGGTAACCCATCGGTTAAGATGGGTTGCCCGATTTAATAATTTCAACATTCCAGTTGCAGACTTCCACCCTCAGGAAACAACCTTGTTTTATGTTTCAAAAAATTTCAAAAAAAAAATTAAACACAATGAGTATTAGAGAAAAAACTGAAAGAAAGAAAGAAAAGAAACTCCAAATCTCTACCAGTTTGCCCAGAATGCTCATCTGTGTTCGTCGTTGCTAAGACGTGGCTGTGACATCAAGTTCATCTTCGCTCTTCACGTCTTGCTCCGTCACCGTCATTCGCACTCCATGGTTGTCGCTACTATCTAACTTTATCTCAGTATTCAACTCACAAACTCAGCTTATGTTGCTCATAGAAGGTAAGGAGAAGGGGGGGAGAGAGAGGGAGAAGGTAAGGACGAAGGGAGAAGAAAGGGGAGGCTTGGAGGGAGAGGAGACAAGGTTGGCGTGCAGATGCAGTGGAGTAAAACAAAAGGCAAGGGGTGTGATTTGATGGATGTGTGTGGCAGTAAGGAAAGAGCAGAGGAAAAACTGAAAAAGCAGAGCAAGCCACGTGAATGAGGGTAAAGGATAGGGAATAAAAGTGAAAAAATAAAAATAATAAAAATTTTAATGTATGAAAAGGAGAGAGAATTAAAAAGAAAAAATAAATAAATAATTAAATATAACTTTTTTAGTTAAAATAGGAATATTTTACACATTTTAATTAAATTAAATTATTTTAATTATTACCGGTCTGACCCCGATCTGACCCATTAACCCTTGACCCAGTATCTTAACCGGTTTATTGATCGGTCCGGTTTTTTGTTCCTTGATCTCAACAGTATTCAAACAGTAATAGATTATGTCTGTGAATCTCTTAGGTAACCGCATCTCCTGAAGACACTCAATAACGAAGCTCCATTTAACTCGCTCGTAAGCTTTTTCCAAATCAATTTTTAATGCCATAAAGCCTTTCTTCCTTTTCATAGTGCTCATAGAATGAATAATCTCTTGAGCCAAAATAATGTTGTCAGAGATTTGCCTGCCTGGGATGAAGCTATATTGATTTGGAGCAACCACATCAGGAAGCACGATTTTCAATCTATTGGCTAGAATTTTCGTACCCACTTTATAAATCACATTACGAAGGCTTATAGGTCTAAAATCACAAAAGTTTTGCAGGATTTCCACTTTGGGTATAAGAGTAATAATGGTACCATTGATGCGTCTTAATTCTTATGGATTAGAAAAAAATAGAAGACACCATATTTATTACCGAGGGGCCCACCACTTCCCATTGAGATTGGAAGAATAAAGGGTTGAGACCATCTGGTCCCAGTGCTTTAAGTGAGCCCATACTGAATATAGCTTGTTTGACTTCCTGGCCCATAACGTCCCTACCCAACGCATTAAGGGACTCATCATCAATCTGTGGGAAGCTTCTTCCAAACTGAACAGACACATGAGCGTTAGTTTCACTAAGAAAAAGCTTCTGAAAGAAGGATGTGCCTTTGTTCTTCAACTCTTCTTGATCGTATCTCCACACTCCGTTTTCATCTTGTAAAGCTTCCACAAATTTCTTATTCCTTCTACAGTTTGTTATTGTATGGAAATATTTGGTATTCTTATCGCCATGATTATACCAATTGCATCTTGACCTCTAGAGCCACATAATCTCTTCTTGCACAAGGCACTGCTCAAGCTCTCTCCACTTTTCATGTTTCTTCCTCTCCCAAACCTCGCTCGTTCCACCATGGAGATTCATGTATTCCAGCTCTCTCAGCAGGTTAGATTTTCTTTTATTAATATTACCGAATGTCTTCTTATTCCAATCAAGGACTTCCTTTTGAAACCTACCAACATTTAGTTCCCATTGTTTATCATGATGCCAAGCTTGTTTGACCAGCTCTGTAAAACCTTCATGAGCTACCCCAGGGGCAAAGAAACGAAAAGAAGTATTGGAACGATGGTAGTCAAACCTCCTTCCCATATTCAACAGAAGAGGACAATGATCAAATTTCATTTTAGGGAGATGAACAATCGAAGCTTCTGAGAAGTGTTCAATCCAAGCCGAATTCCCGAAAAGACGAGAAAAGACGATCAATTCTATTAAAGGATCTACCTCGGCACCAAGTAAATTTAGGACCTTGAAATTCAATTTCTGTGACACCACTCCTTTGAACCCAATTCTGTAGGCAACGGTCAGGGCCGACCGTCGAATCAGTAAACAAAATTCTATCTTCAGATCTTAACATAGCATTGAAAGCACCTTCAATGCACTATCTACCAACTCCTTTTTCTTCTATCTCTTCGAGTTGTTGCCAAGGCATACGACGAGATGAAATATTAGGATGGCCATAGACAATAGAGAGATCCCAAGCATCACTTGTACCTTGGTTGAAAGTTCTATGAAGCACCTGAGCATGTTTGGAAGTCACCGTGAAATTAGTATCCTCATCCCAAAAGCACCAAATGCCTCCACTAAAGCCAAGAGCATCTACGATCTCCATATTCTTGAAACCCACTCTTTTAGCTAAACCATGGGCTTTTCATATTTTTGTCTCGGTTCTGATATAGCTAAGAGATTCAAACTATATTTTTTCTTTAAATAGAATAATAGTCCAGTGAAAGCTTTCCCTCCAACGCCACGTGAATTCCATATCATAATATTTTTCTTCATCATAAGAACTTGAGAACGAATGTTGTAACGGCACTATAAAGAGACTGCTTATTGCCCAGTAGAGCTAGGTGGTCCATATCTCGGCATGACTTCAAACTGCTGTCTAATAGTCATTAGGTTCGACAGGGCTATGGATAGGCTCTCTTTTAAAGAACCTAGATCAGGTGGGTCATTAGCCTCCAGAAAAGACGCATCCCCTGGATCATAGACCGAAACTGACCCATTACTTTGCGTTATAGGCCCATTAGCTGCATCATTCTTCTCCTTATCAGTCGCAATGTCAACATGGACTCTCTGTTGTGCGAAAAAAGGAAGCCCATCAACTGTGGCTACCTGCTTTTTATTTTCCAAGCCTAGTCGTTCCTTGGCCTTAAGCAAAAACCCCATCTCATTTTGCCCTTTCACTTTAAACTTAGGTAAGCTCCTCTTGTTTTTAGATTCCACTCCTAGCCCAACTTTGCGTAGCCCACTAGTGGAAATCTCTTTTCTTAGCCCAACCATCTTTATTGAGGTAGGAGCATTTTCTGTATTGCTAGCTTGCTCTCTCGGGTCTGCATTAAATCGTAACTCTGATGCTTATACCTGGCTCCTGTTCTCATTCAAATCTTGCGACATATCCGGTCCCTTATTTTCCTATAAAGAAAGCGCTTGAAACCGAGATCCTTGATTCTCAATCCTAACAGTCGGTCGTGAATCTCGCCAACTCTTTACTCACTTTCCCTTTCAGCTGTTCTGATCGTCGTTGTCTCCTTGGCCTCTGGACCACCATCCAAGAGTCGTAAACCGCCGTAGGTGCACCTGTCGCCGTGCTGCTTTCTCCTTTTTTATTTCTGAAGTCATCGCATATGATTCTTCTGAATTTCCTGCACTTGCTGGATCTATCTGAGTCGTTTTGGGTACTATGATTTTCGCTTCTGGGACCTCAACTCTCTTCTGCGGACAGAGGTCTTTATCATGGCTATATCTTCCGCAGCTAAAACAGATGAGATGGATGCCTTCATACTGAATTCTATGCACCTCACCATTAATGAGAACCATTGACCGCAAGGGTGCACTCAAGTCAAGTTCAACACATATTCTTGCAAATCTCCCCTTCTTTCTTTTATGAGTTGCCGTGTCAACTTTTAATACTTTTCCCACTTGGTTGCCCAGTACGTGGAGGATGCCTCTGTCGTAGTAGTCTAGGGCCAACTTGGGAATACGAATCCAAGCTGCAATCTTTGAAACTTGTTCCTCATCTGGATCAAAATCTAGTTTCCAAGGTTGAACTGCGATATAGTGATCAAACAATAACCACAACCCTCCGGTTAACGCCAATTCATAATCAGAAGCATTAGAAAATTTCACCGCAAAGAAACCAGACCCCACATCTATTGAGTCAATGTCACCTTGCTTTGCCCACAATTGTTTCAGTTTATTTTCAAAGTAGTCGGGATTGATCATTCTGCCCAGCAACTTGACAATCAGCGTATTCTGCCATCGCAAAGCTAGCCTTTCTTTTTCTTGCGGTAGTATAATCATGTTAGGTCCGTTCACCGTCATAGAAACCGAGATTCGCTCCTTCCGCCGGTCATTACTCCACCAATCCTCTTCTTCCTCCTCCATCGTTATTTCCTTCGTGACTGCCTCCTTGAAAGATTTCCATGTCGTGCTAGCTGTTGATGGAGTTTTGCCCTTATCCGATTCAGTAGCTCTTGCTTGATTATCATCTGTCATCCACTCTTCAACCCTAGGAACCAATCGTTGCTCCAGCGAGAATATAGTCTCTCCAGCCCTCACTTTCTTGTGACTCCTATCCAAAGCATCATGCTCCTCCAACGTCAGTGCCGGCGAAGGGTTTTCATTCTCTCTCACACTCATGGGGGAAAATACCTCCCAGTAATCTTTACAATTAAGGTTTTAAAAATTTGTTTATTAAATAAGATGGAAAAAGGTGATTTTGAGAACAGATTTTGAAAGAATAGATTCTAAAAAAAATAATTTTAATAAAATGAGAATGTTTGGACAGTTATTATCAGAAGTATGTTTTTAAGTACAAATTAGCAAAAGGTATATAAATTAACATGATAGTTACACAAAAAGATTAGATTTTAATTTATAGTTTTATTTGAAGTAATAAACTTGTGAATATTTTTTTTTTTTGCCAACATAGTAAATGATATATAAGAATATAATTAATTAATTGTTAGTACGTGTATATATATCTATAAAATATAACATTAAATATGTTTTTAGAAAAATAAATATTTTTGGCCAATAGAAAAATATTATTTCACATTAAAAATTATAATCATGAAATTGTTGGCAATATTCCCCCATACTCACCTATGTACTATTGCACTTGTTTGTCCACGTGTTATTAGGTCACCTGTCGACCCAAGCCACCTTAAGGTCTGACTACTACGAAGTTTCAAGGCCATCCCTTTGACATCCATAATAAATTAATAATTACTCCAAGCATCAGTTTTTAGCTCTTAGATCGGAAATATTTTTACTCTTTCCAAAACCATTGTTTCGGAGGATAAAACTATGATTTCAACCCAAGCCACGGTTTTTCAAAAACTTAAAATGTTTGGATAGTTTTGGACTAAAACTATAGTTTGGGTCCAAAAATGCTTTTTGATGAATTGCCAAACACTAGTATAGTGGGTCTCTTCAAGGCTAACGTGTCTCAGAAAATAGATAGATTTGATAAAAAATCATCATCAAATGAAATTCGCTTTTTTTTATAACTTGATCAGTCAATTTTCTGGAAAATCAGTATCCAATTTCAATTTTAAAGGACTTTGTTTATTTCGAGAACATGAAAAGATGGATTCTGAAGCTAAAAATTAAGTTGGTTCATAAATAAAATTTTTATCAAAGAGATGACAACTCCTCTTATCAAAATAATATGCTTTAATAAGTAATTTATTAGTTGCTATGATACTATATCATGTCTTTAATATAAGAGTTTGTTTAATTTTTATTTTGGTTTTAAATATAAAACCCAAATCTACTTTGTTTTTTATATTTATCCATTTTTTTAAGGTAATCTTTGTAATAATGATAGTTTTAGCTAATATACTTGATTAGTAGGGATATTTTAGGAAAGATAACACCTATTTATTATAAATAACTAACTTAACTAATTTTTCTAATCTATTTAAAATAGTCAATTAGCTCTTATATTAAAAACTGGAGGTGGTATCATGTTATATTGAATTTGTTATTGAATATTACTTCCTTAGATTCTATATATAAGATACATATAGTCAAATTAGAAAGATAAAAAATTAGTTAAAGGTTTTAAATGTTTAAGATATGCATTTGATCCTTAATATAAATGCTAGTTTGACATTCAATTTCATTCTAAACATGAGATCTCAATCCACTTTCTTTCTTATATTTATTCTTTTCTTTTATAAAGTAGTCTTTGTAGTAGTTACACATATTCAAAATTTTATCAAATAATTAATTTTAACTAATACACTTGATTAGCAAGAGTATTTTATGAAAGAAAATATTTATTTATTAAAATTAATTAACTCCGTTAATTTTTTTAATCTACCTAATTTAGTAACTTGCTCTTATATTAAAGATAGAAGGTAGTATTTATTTTTCCAGTCATACCATTATTAATAAAGGGACATCAAATTGATGGTTCAAATTCAATTTGCGATTTATCATTTGTTAAACTGTTGAGTAATTAAAGGAGTATATTAAGAATACAAGTTAAAAAAATTTCAACAATTGGTGTCCAGACAATATTTACTATTATTCCCTGAAGAAAATTACTATAATATTATGTTATATTCAATTTGTTATTGACTATTACTTTGTTCGTTTTTATATATAAGATACAAATAATCAAATATAAACAAATGGTTAAAATTAATTAAAGGCTAGAAATGTATAAAATGTGCATTAATTTTTTTGAAATATACTATTATTTATGAAGAGGGTGAGAGAGAGACTGAATGAGAAATCAAGATGAGAGGAAGTCTACCCAGAGAAGGAATAGAAATAGTGGAAAAAGCGAATTAAATTTTTAAACATATGCAAAGTGTAACTTATATATGAAGCCAGATGGAATAACTTCATTATACTTCTCTAGTCGTTAATATAAAACCTAAATAAGATATTGATGTTGATTATATATACAAGTGATTTTATATGTTTATCAATTTTTTCTTAAATTAACTTTACTAATATTCCCTCAATAATAATTAAGTAAAAAAAGCAGGAAAAGAATTTAAAAAAATGATTAGGACATTTCATAAAAAAAAATATTAAATAATTTAACCAACATCTTTAACATATTCAAATTAATTAATTAAGTTTTACATTACGGGAAGAATATTAATAAAAGGACACCAAATTGATAGTTCAATTTGCGCTTGATTAAACTGTTGAGTATGCACATGCAAAAAGGATCATATTTTAAGTGTGGCCACCGTTTCATGAGGCCTCGATGCTCCATAATTGTCTCTTTTTTTCAGGAGCTTGAGGTTGAATAATAATTAATTTAGTATCAATAGCAATATGAATATTTTAAAAACAAAAAGGTTAATACAAATTTTGGTATGTTAAGTTTACCTTCATTTTAGTTTCAATCTCTTAAATTTTAAACCATAAGTTTTGATCACTCAAAATGTTTTTAATTTAAAATATTGTTCCCTATAATCCAATAAAAACTTAGACCATTTTTTCCTGGGACTAAAACCTATAGTTTTAAATTTGAGAAACCAAAACCAAAATGAGAGCAAATTTAAAAGATAAAAAATTATATTAACCAAAAATAAAAAGAGGCCTCCCCTTTCTTCGATTTTACAGGGTTCACCTGACACAACTACATTTGTTGAATAACATGAAGTCGGGAACCATCTCCCGGATCAATTAAAGAGGACACTTAAATTGTTTTGAAGAAGCTTGAAACCTCACAAATAGCCCTTTCATTGTTTTGATAAAGGACAACTTTATTAAAAAGCCTAAACGTTATTAAGAGAAGGAAAGGAGAAGGAACCAAATGCACAAGCCAGGCAAGCAAACCAGAGGCCCAACAGATCAACAAACAAGTGACTAGGGCCAGACAAAAGTTAACAAAAACAAAACATGACAAGAAATGCGAAGATCATCATACAGCAAGCGTAACTGATGAATATATGTGAACTGCAAAAATTGAAAATTTTCAATATTTATAAATTTTGTTATTTTGAATAAACCTCGAAAGCCATTATATTAAATTAAGGTGAAACACCAAAGTACAAAAAACATCAACAGAACTTTCATCAAACACCAGCCTTTCAATGAAGGGAGGGGTACCTCAAGGGTCTAAAGACCAATGCTTCCTCAATGATTTAAATAAAGAATCAGCGCTATAATTACCTTCCCTATAAATCATTCAAAACAGAACATCCCAAACTCGTGAAACCATTCTTCTTGCTTCTTCACTGATGTCTCTAACCGGATGATCACAGCAAGTTTCCCCAGTCAAATAGTTCATTGCTTTTGAGCACAATCTGGAGAAGCTTGGCCTTTTCTTGTACCCTTTTCAAAGCATACAGTCAGACCTGCAATAATCCACATGATTTCGGTTATTATTAAGGCATTAACTGTATTCACCCATCTTTCTGCGGAAACGAATCACCCACTCCCCCATCACATTCTTCATGACTCCACCGAATGAACTACTTACAGAGACACAAACTGACCCATCTATTTCTAACTTGGAGTATTTTTCCGCCATCAATCTCCGTAAAACCTCTTCATTGCAAGTATTATACCATTTAAAACCATGAGTGGCGCCAAAGTATCAATTTAGAGATGCATGCACGACTCAAAGCAACAAATACAAGATCTACCGCCAGAGAGAATACTGACCAACCAACTTGAAACAAAATCACGGTGTGCTTATGGTGTTGCTCATAGTGTGGTTATGATAAAGTCTATGAAGGATTAATATCACACTTAATACAAGTAAAGCATAAGATAAAAATAGAGCATTTCACCTTGTTTTACTGTTTCAGAAGACCTGTGTCTATCATTACATGAACAAGAATCTCTGATTTGTCATTCTGATTTTTCATCAGAAGAGCTCCAACAAGTGTTGTAAATGTCACCAAATTAGGGAGGCAGCCATTCTCTTTCATTTTTGAAAGCAATGCCAATGCTTCATCAAAAAGGCCTTCTTTGCAAAGTCCATTCATCATAATGTTGTAAGTATAGATATCTACATGATGACCTTTGGTCAAAAGAAATTCAAAGATGTCTTGTGCCAATTTTAACCTACCTTCTTTGCACAAACCGTCAATTAGTATGTTGTGTGAATGCATTGTAGGTTGTATTCCTTCATTGACAATATGTTGATATAATGCAATTGCCTCGTCAAGATGTCTCATTTTGCAAAATGCATCCAATATGATATTGTAGGTTATTATATTAGGAGCGTGACCATTGCGACGCATCTCATAAACAAAATCTTTCACATATGACATTCTCTTAGCTTTGCACAAGCCATCAATAAGAGAGCTGTAAGTGACTATATCAGGCTGCAAATTTTTGCAACGCATTTCTTTAAACAAATCCAGGGCTTCATCCACCATTTTTAATTTACAATATGCATTAATCAATATATTGTAACCCCTAACATCAAGTGTCAAATCAGCTTTGATCATCTTATTGAACACTGCTATGGACTCATTAACATCATTCCTCATACAATAGCCATTCATCAAAGAACTAAAGGTAATAACATCAGGTTTTACACAACACTTCATCATCTTAGCGAAAACAGCTTCAGCTTCTATGATCCTTCCTCTTTTGCAAAATGCATCAATTATTATACTAAAGGTATGACGAGTAGGAGTGATGTCTTTAATGACTATTTTATTTAGCATCCTCAGAGCTTGGTGCAATTGGTTGGTATTGGAGAAACCATGGATTAAAGTGTTGTAGATAACAATATCAGGAGATATACCTTGACTGATCATCTGAGAACACAATTCAGATGCCTGACTTACTAGCCCTTCTTTACAAAGGCCATCAATGACTGTGGTATATATAAACAAGTCGGGCTTAATTTTAATTCTCTGTCTCCCCATCATTTGAAGCAACTTAACAGCGCATCTTGTTTGTCCAGTTTTACAAAGCCCATTAACTATGATACCATAGGTAACCGAGCTTAAGCAAAATCCTTTTGTCAGCAAGTCATCGTGGAAATCCAGTGCTTGCCCTACATCTTTCATGCAGAGTCCTTTCATCAACGTATTCATTGTTACCGTATTTGGTCGATAACCCCACTTGAAAATCTTCCCCGATGAAGAGAAAGCAGAATTGATATCGCCCACTTGACAGTAGCAATTGATCAAAATGTTCAGTGTAACAAAAGATGGTTTGAACCCTTTCAATTCCGCCTGGGCATAAAGTGAGATAGCAGTGGTGTGGTGTTTGGTCTTTGCAAGTGATCCCAAAATCTTATTAATTTCGATAATGGAGGGCGGGGGAGTCATGGAGAGCAAGCGATTGAAGGAAGCTACGGAGTCTCGGAGGCTATTAGGGTCTGGGGAATGAGAATGAAAACAAAATCGCAGCTTGAGGAAGGAAGGGAGAGAAAGAAGGAAGGCAAATGGAGGAGATTGCAGAAAGAGAGCAGATTTAGGGAAGGCATACCTTAAAGCAGCAGAAGAGAACAGCATCTTCAGGTGAGATTGGAAGAGGAATGCGATGCACAGAAGCTCCTTCACCAACTGGGAAACGGCAGAAGCATATGCTGGTGGAATTGAACCGAAGAGATTGAAGGAGGCGACTCTTTTTTTCATTTTTGACGTCCGCCATAGTACAGAGAGGTAATTTTCTTTTTCGGCCTGATCGTGCATAGAGATAATTACTTCATCTAGTTTTCCTATGATTTTGAATTCGGCGTTTTTTTTTTTTTCAAATGGTTGGCAGAAATAAAAAGGCATTAGCTTTTTGATTATGTGCTTATATATATATTTTTTCAATTATAGGTGATAAATATAGATCTTAGATAAAGAAGAAATTAAAGGTATTATCTTTTTGTAAAAATTTATTTAATGAAAACAGATATTCTCTTTCTAGCCTCCCTTCTAGCTTCAATTTCTCCTCTACGGAAGAGGCCCAAGCTAATATTCTCTGAAACGTAGTGCTGGGACAGGAAATCAATCAGGCAATTTTCTAACCGCCCTGTTTGGGAGGACTTAGGGAGTGTTTGGATAGAAACCAAATCATAGTTTCAGAAGTGTTTTTACGAATTACGAAATAAATATGTGGAAGAAGTTACCTCGTTTTGTGAAAAAGTGTTTCTGAAACTGTGGTTTTGAGAATGCCAAACAGCCTCTTAATTTGAGCTAAAAGTTACTTGTTTTGGACAGAAGCCTAATTGAGAAATGAAATACAGTTTGTTTTTCATAAATTTCACTTGAAGCTGCAAGAATAAGCTTATTTTTTGAAGAGCTTATTAGCTTAAGGGCAGAATTAATACTCCGTTCCCGGCTCCTACAGCCCGAAATTGTCGTGCTGATGGCAACGAAGTATCATTATCCAATTGTTCTTTTTGTCTCTGTTTCTTAACATTTCAGAACAAGCGCAGCAAGGTCCAAATATTTAATATACAATAAAAAAGAAATAAAAAATTCACTCATTAAATTAATTATGTAGAATCATTTTTTAATCATGTTTTATTATTTATTAAAACTCACACTCATTTTAGTAATTTTACAAACAAACTTATTTTTACTCAATCATAATCCAAACAACCTTTTACTTATTTTTACTCAATCATAATCCAGACAACCTTTTACTAATCTCATTTTTACGGTCTTCATTTTTCTATAATCTGATTTATTTTCATTTTATTTTGATTTTTGCAGAAAAAATGCCTGCTGAGTGAAAGCTACTGATATCATGTCTTTTAAGAATTAATATAGAGAAAAATGAGTATTTATTAAAAAATCATTAATATTTTAAATAATTTATAAATATATATATTAATTATTTTATTCAGTTTTAGTTTTTTTGCATATATTATACTTTCAAGTGATCGTGAAAGTCGAGTGCTTGCCCTACATCTTTCATGCAGAGTCCTTTCGTCAACGTAGCCATTGTTATAGTATTTGGTCCATAACCCTACTTGAATATCTTCCCCATTGAATAGAGAGCGGATATGATGTCACCCACATGACCGTAGCAATTGATCAACATGTTCAGTGTAACTAAAGACGGTTTGAATCCTTTCAATTCTACTTGCACAGAAAAGTGAGATAGCAATGGTGCAATGTTTGATGTTTGCAAGTGATCCTAAAATCTTGTTAATTTTGACAATGGAGGGTTGGGAACTCATAGCGATTGAAGAAAGCTACAGAGTCCCGGTGGCTGTTAGGGTTTAGGGAATGAGAATGAAAACAAAATCGTAGATTGAGGAAGAAAGGTGGAGAGAGAGAGAGAGAGAAGGAGGGCAAATGGAAGAGACTGAGGAAAGAGAGGAGATTTAGGGAATGCATGCCTTGAAGAAGTGGAAGACAATAGCATTTCGGATAAGATCGTAAAAACCAAAAATGATCAGTACGAAAACGAGTTATTTAGATAAATTCAAATCATGGTTTAGAAAATATTTCTGAAAAAAAGGTAATTTTGATAATAGATTTTGAAAAAAAACGATTTTAATAAAATGAGAGTGTTTAAATATTTGTTATTAGAATCACTTTTTTAAGTACAAATTATCAAAAAGTATATAAGTTAATATGATAGTTACACAAAAAGATTAAATTTTAATTTATAGTTTTATTTGAAGTAATAAATTTAAAAATAATTTTTTTACCAACATAATAAAATATATATAAGAATATAATTAATTAATTGTTAGTATATATATTTATAAAATTTAACATTAAATACGTTTTTAAAAAAATAAATATTTTTCTAACAAAAAAATATTATTTCATATTAAAAATTATAAACATGAAATGTCATGATACAATGAAAGTTGGCCATATTCCGCCATACTCACCCATACTCACCATTGCACTAGTGCACTTGTTTGTCCACGTGTTATTAGGTCACCTGTCGACCAAAGCCACCTTGAAATCTGACCACTACGGAGTTCCAAGGCCATGCTTTTTACATCCATAATAATTACTCCAAGCACCAGTTTTTGGCCTTTAGAATTGAAATTTTTTTTCTCTTTCCAAAATCATAGTTTAGGAGGATAAATCATGATTTTAACTCAAATCATAGTTTTCCAGAAACTTAATAGGTTCTATCTTTTTAACCATAGGTATTTTTTCGGAAGTAGTATGGGTTAATGAGGCCTGAAAAAGTGTTTGGATAGTTTTGGACTAAAACCATAATTTGGGGTCGAAAAATAAATTTTAGGAATTGGCAAACACTGGATCTCTCCCCCCATACGAAGCAAAATCAATTTGTGTATAATTATAATTTAACTTATTCTATTAATTATTATTTTATAGTTTTATTTTGTTTGAAGGAATGAAAACATATATTTTATACTCATCAACTTAACTAATTTATAAAGTTATCATTTTGAATTAAGTTGGTTCATAAATAATATTTTTATCAAGAAGATGACAACTCCTTATACCGAAATAATATGCTTTAATAGGTTATTTATTGGTTACTATGATACTACCTCATATCTTTAATATAAGAGCTTATTTAATTTTTATTTTGATTCTAAATATAAGATCTAAATCTACTTTGTTTTTTATATTTATCCATTTTTTTAATGTAATATTTGTAATAATGACAGTTTTAGCCAATATACTTGATTAACAGAAATATTTTAGAAAAAATATCACCTATTTATTACAAATAATTAGCTTAACTAATTTTTCTAATCTATTTAAAATAATTAACTAACTCTTATATTAAAGACAGGATATAATATCATATTATATTGAATTTGTTATTGAATATTACTTCCTTAGATTCTATATATAAGATACAAATAGTCAAATTAGAAAGATAAAAAATTAGTTAAAATTAATTAAAGGTTATAAATGTTTAAGATACACACGGCCTTTGATCCTTAATATAAAAGCTAGTTTAACATTAAATTTCATTATAAATATAAGACCTCGATTCACTTTGTTTCTTATATTTATTTTTTTATAAGGTAGTCTTTGTAGTAATTACACATATTTAAAGTTTTATCAAATAATTAGTTTTTAACTAATACACTTAATTAGCAAGAATATTTTATAAAAGACAACATTCATTTATTACAAATAACTAACTCTGCTAATTTTTTTTTAATCTTCTCAAATTAGTAACTCGCTCTTATATTAAAAACAACATGTAGTACTTATTTTTCCAATCATTCCATTTTTAATAAAGGGACATCAAATTGATGGTTCAAATTCAATTTTTTCTTAAATTAACTTTACTAATATTTTCCCAATAATAATTAAGTAAGGAAAGCAGGAAAAGAATTAAGAAAAATACTTAAAATATTTTTTTAAAAAAATATTATATTAATTAATTTAATTAACATCTTTAATCTTTAATATGTCCTTAGAAAAGGAATATTAATAAAAGGACACCAAATTGATAGTCCAATTTGCGCTTGATTAGACTGTTGAGTATGCATATGTAAGAAGGATCATATTTTAACTCTAGCCACCGTTTCATGAAGAAGCCTCGAAGCTCCAAAATTCTCGCTTTCTTTCAGGAGGTTGAGGTTGAATAATAATTAATATTAGTATCAATAGCAATATGAATATTTTAAAAAAAAAAACTAACACAAATTTTCGTTCTTCAAATTTACTTCATTTTTGGTTTTAATTTTTTAAGTTTTGAACTATAAGTTTTAGTCCCTCAATTTTTTTTATTTAAAACATTAGTCTTTATAATCTAATAAAAATTTAGATTATTTTGCTCTTAAAAGGATTAAAACCTCTGGTTTGAAATTTGAGGAACCAAAACCAAAACCAAAATAAAAACAAATTTGAAGGACTAAAAATTATATTAACAAAAAAAAAACAGAGGCCTCCCCTTCGATTTTACAGGGTTCAACTTTAAATAGACACAACATTTGTTGAATAACATGAAGTCGGGAACCATTTCCTGGATCAATTAAAAAGAACACTTAAATTGTTTTGAAGAAGTTTGAAACCTCACAAATAGCCCTTTCATTGTTTTGATAAAGGACAAGTTTTTTCTTTTTGATAATATGATAAAGGACAATTTTATGAAAAAGGCTAAACGTTATTAAGAGAAGGAAAGGAGAAGGAACCAAAAGCACAAGAAGGGTAAGCAAACCAGAGGCCTAACAGATCAACAAACAGGTGATCAGCGCCAGACAAAAGTGAGGGAAAAAAAACCGGACATGACAAGAAATACGAAGATCATTATACAGCAAGCATAACTGATGAACACATGTGAACTGCAAAAATTGACAATTTTCAATATTTATAGATTTTGTTATTTTGAATAAACTTTGAAAGCCATTATAACTTTGAAAGCCATTATATTAAAGAGTAAAATACTATAACCTCCCTTACATTTTGTCTCAATTACACAAACCTCCCCTCTATTTTGAAAATATACATTTAAATCCAAACCTTTAATTTTGTTAAGAGTATTTCAAAAATATGTTTTTTTTAATTCAAATTTATATTGAAATACTTTCTATTTGCTAAATTACCCTTCATAATACCAAATCCCAAAATCTTAGTTAAAACTATATCGAAGAATTTAAGATTTTCTTCTTAACCCTAATTTTATTTATTTTTTTTTGAAAATTGTTGTTTGTTTAATGTTTTTATTGTATTAGGCCAAAAATTAAGTAATTTAGTTAATGCAAACATAAATTTACATAATTTATATAAGTTTCCAAACTCGCATAATTTATATTATGTGATGAAAAAATAAGCATTCAAAATATTTTCTAGCCTTTTAAAAAAATCTTAATTTTCAATATTTCATGAGGAACTAAAATTATATAATTCTGTAATATAATTGAAATTAAAAATTTTATAACATGTTGAAAATTTTGAAAATACATGTATTATAATTATTTTTGTTGTATCAAAAATTATTTTTTTAAAGATATAAATGTTTAAATAACATTTATGTTAAAAACGGATATTTTGATCAAAATAAAAATTTAAAAGTCAAACTTAACAGTCAACTAACAGTTAGATGGATAAAAATTGAATCTTAAAAATATAAGAGAGGTTTGTGTAACATATATTTTAATTTGAAGGAAAGTTTATATATGCTTTCAAAATAGAAAGGAGGTTTCTGTAATTTAAGTAAAATAGAGGGATGGTTAATATATTTTATCCTATATTAAATTAAAGTGAAACACCAAAGTACAAAAAACATCAACAGAACTTTCATCAAACACCTCCCTTTCAATGAAGGGAGGGGTACCTCAAGGGTGTAAAGACCAATGCTTCCTCAATGATATAAATAAAGAATCGGCGCTATAATTACCTTCCCTATAAATCATTCAAGACAGAACTTCCAAAACCCTTGAAACCATTCTTCTTCCTTCTTCACTGATGTCTCTAACCGGATGATCACAGCAAGTTTCCCCAGTCAAGTAGTTAGTTGCTTTTGAGCACAATCTGGAGAAGCTTGGCCTCTTCTTGTACCTTTTCACAGCATACAGTCGGACCTGCAATAATCCACATAATTTCGGTTATTAAGGCATTAACTGTATTCACCCATCTTGCAGAAACGAATCACTCAACTCCCCCATCAAATTCTTTATAACTCCACCGCATGAACTACTTCCAGAGGCACAAACGGACCCATCTATTTCTAACTTGAAGCATTTTTCCACCATCAATCTTCATATAACCTCTCCGTTGCAAGTATTATACCCTTTAAAATCATGAGTGGCACCAAAGTATCAATTTAGAGATGCAAGCACGACTCAAAGCAACAAATACAAGAACTACCACCAGTGAAAATACTGACCAACCAACTTGAAACAAAATCACGGTGTGCTTGTGGTGTTGCTCCTAGTGTGGTTATGATAAAGTCTATGAAGGATTAATATAACGATTAATACAAGCAAAGCATAAGATAAAAATAGAGCATTTCACCTTCTTTTACTGTTTCAGAAGACCTGTGTCTATCATTGCATGAACAAAAATCTCTGATTTTTCATTCTGATTTTTCATCAAAAGAGCTCCAACAAGTGTTGTAAATGTCACCAAATCAGGGAGGCAGCCATTCTCTTTCATTTTTGAAAGCAATGCCAATGCTTCATCGAAAAGGCCTCCTTTGCAAAGTCCATTCATCATAATGTTGTAAGTATAGATATTTAGGTGATGACCTTCAGTCAAAAGCAATTCAAAGATCTCACGTGCCAAATTTAACCTACCACCTTTGCACAAACCATCGATGAGCATACTATATGTATGAACAGTAGGTTGCATTCCTTGATCGACAATTTGTTGATACAATATAATTGCCTCGTCAAGAAGTTTCATTTTGCAAAATGCATCAAGCAAGATACTGTAGGTTATTATATTAAGAGCCTGACCATACTGACGCATCTCATAAACAAGATCTTTCACATGTGATATTCTCTTGGCTTTGCACAAGCCATCAATAAGAGAGCTGTAAGTGACTATATCAGGCAGCAAATTTTTGCAACGCATTTCTTTAAACAAATCAAGGGCTTCATCCACCATTTTTAATTTACAATATGCATTGATCAATATACTGTAACTCACAACAGTAGGTGTCAAATCAGCTTTGATCATCTTATTGAACACTGCTATGGACTCATGAACATCATTCCTCATACAATAGCCATTCATCAAAGAACTATAGGTCACAACATCAGATTTTACACAACACTTCATCATCTTAGCAAACACAGCTTCAGCTTCTGTGATCCTTCCTCTTTTGCAAAATACACCAATTATTATATTAAAGGTATGATAAGTAGGAGTGATGTCTTTCATGACTATTTCATTTAGCAACCTAATAGCTTGTTGCAATTGGTTAGTATTGGAGAAACCATAGGTCAAAGTGTTGTAGGTGACAATATCAGGAGATATACCTTGACTGATCATTTGAGAAAACAATTCAGATGCCTGACTTACTAGCCCTTCTTTACAAAGGCCATCAATGACCGTGTTATATATAACCAAGTCAGGCTTAATTTTAATTCTGTGTCTCCCCATCATTTGGAGCAACTTAACAGCACATCTTGTTTGTCCACTTTTACAAAGCCCATTAACTAAGATGCCATAAGTAACTGGGCTTAAGCAAAATCCTTTTGTTAACAAGTCATCGTGGAAATCCAGTGCTTGCCCTACATCTTTCATGCAGAGTCCTTTCATCAACGTATTCATTGTTATCGTATCTGGTCGATAACCCCACTTGAAAATCTTCCCCGATGAACAGAAAGCAGAAGTGATATCGCCCACTTGACAGTAGCAATTGATCAAAATGTTCAGTGTAACAAAAGATGGTTTGAACCCTCTCAATTCCGCCTGGGCATAAAGTGAGATAGCAGTGGTGTAGCGTTTGGTCTTTGCAAGTGATCCTAAAATCCTATTAATTTCGACAATGGAGGGCGGGGGAGTCATGGAGAGCGAGTGACTGAACGAAGCTACGGGATCTCGGAGGCTAGTAGGGTTGGGGAAATGAGAGTGAAAACAAAATCGCAGATTGGGGAAGGAAGGGAGTAAAAGAAGAAAGGCAAACGGAGGAGATTGGAGAAAGCCAGGAGATATGGGGAAGGCGTACCTTAAAGTAGCAGAAGAGAACAGCATCTTCAAATGAAATGAGAAGAAGAACGTGCAATGTCCAGAAGCTCCTTCACCAAATTGGAAATCTCAGAAGCATGTGCTGGTGGAATCGAATCGAAGAGATTACGTGCTCATAATTTTTTTTTTTAATTACGGGTGGTTAATATAGATCTTAACTGTAGAATATATAAGTTATAACAAAATACAAAATTAAAAAGAAAATTTAAAAAGAATTGACATTTGGTTAGAAATAAAATTTATTTATTGTCGACAGGAAAATAAAAAATTATTATCCTCGTAATCGTGTCTTTATATTTATATATAATCTATAGTCTGATTCATTTTCATTTTATTTTGATTGTCGTCGCATAAATGTATGCTGAGTCAAAGCTACTAATATCATTTGTTTTAAGAACTAATATTGAGAAAAATGAGTATTTATGAAAAATGAGTAATATTTTAAATAATTTATAAATTTAGATATATTAATTAACTATTTTATTTACTTTTATTTTTTTATATATTATTACTCTATATTAGTATTTAAAATTTTAATAATTTGTTCTTGTTGGCAAAAATAAAAATTGAATACTCCTCCGGTCCTTAATATAGAATCTAATTATTGAGTTGCTTTTGATCCTAAATATAATACCTATTTATTATATTTATCAATTTTTTAAAATTATCCCTATGAATCTCCCTCAACTATAATCAAGTAGAAGAAGGAGAAAAGATATTAAGAAAAATAATTATAGTGTTTTAGGAAAAACATGTCATATTTCTTATAATTAACTAATTTATTTAGTTTCTTTAATTTAATCAAATTAGTTAAATAGGTTTTATATTAATGACTGGAGGGGTAATTCTTAATTTTATGCGTAGGTATATCATTGAAATTAAAAATTGTAACAGGCTGGCAAGATTAGACTGAAATTGATCAACTGGTTACCTAGTTCATCCGGTCAACTGCAAAAAAGCAGTAGGAAGTCAACTGTATAACTGGGTTAACTCATGAATAACCTATTAATCTGATTAGTTTAGTGGATTAGACTGGTTGTGCTTTTATTTAAAAAAATTAATGCCAAAAACGACTTTATTGTACTCCTCCGGTCCTTAATATAAGACCTAATTCATGAGTTGGTTTTGGTCCTAAATATAAGATGGAAAAATGACAATAAAATACCACCTGAATTCCAAAAAGACAAATAAGGGACCTGAATAAGCAAAATGACATATAGGGGACTGGGTACCAATCTGAAATTCAGATTTTTGGCCAAAAGACCAAAATGCCCTGTCTGAAAGTGAGAGAAAGGAGAGAGAAAGACCGACGGTGATGAAATGCGGGAAGAAGGAAAGAAGAATATTGGAAATGCTATTATCTTACTCCTTCGCATCACCATTCTGTAGAGATTGTTGATTTGGTGGGTTTTGGTTGTGGGAAAGAGGATTTGTAGTGAGAGAGGGAGTGAACCTGCGGGGAAGATGAAGTGGAAATCAGAAAACAATGACAAGCAATTACGTTACGTAACTGCTGTCATATGCCTGCTGGTTTTTGATAAATCCCACTACGTGAATGGTAAATCCCACTATGTGAATGGTAAATTTTACTATACATGTAGTTAATTATGAATTTTACAAAATACATATTGTGATTTACAACTTTTGTAGTGAAAGTGACTACTTTGTTAATGGGTTTTGCAACCTATTTTCAGGAGATAAACAACTTGTTTGTAAAAACTAATAAAATTTCACGCTAAATTTGACAAAACGTATAGTGGGATTTACAACTTCCGTAGTAAAAATGACCACTTATTCAATGGGTTTTGTAACTTGTTTTCAGGAGATGGGCAGCTTGTTTATAAAAACTAATAAAATTTCATACTAAATTTGACAAAACACATAGTGAGATTTACAACTTTCGTAGTGAAAATGATCACTTCTTCAATGGGTTTTGTAACATGTTTTCAAAGGATTGGCAACTTGTTTCTAAAAACCAATAAAATTCTATGCTGAATTTTACAAAACATAGAGTAATATTTACAACTTTTGTAGTGAAAATTACCACTTCTTAAATGAATTTTGCAACTTCTTTTCAGGGGATGAGCAACTTGTTTCTAAAAATCAATAAAACTTCACGCTGAATTTGACAAAACACATAGTGAGATTTACAACTTTCATAATGAAAATGATCACTTCTTCAATGGGTTTTGCAACATGTTTTCAAGGGATTGGCAACTTGTTTATAAAAACCAATAAAATTATATGCTGAATTTTACAAAACATGTAGTGAGATTTACAACTTTTTTAGTGAAAATGATCACTTCTTAAATGGGTTTTGCAACCTCTTTTCAGGAGATGAGCAACTTGTTTCTAAAAACCAATAAAATTTCACACTGAATTTTACAAAACACATAGTGAGATTTACAACTTTTATAGTGAAAATGACCACTTCTTAAATGGCTTTTGTAACCTGTTTTCAGAGGATAGGTAACTTGTTTCTAAAAACCAATAAAATTTCACGTTGAATTTTATAAAACATATGCTGGGATTTACAACTTTTGTGATAAAAGTGACCGCTTTGTTAATAGATTTTGCAACATATTTTCGGGGGATGAGTAACTTACTTTTCACCACCAATAAAATTTCACGCTGAATTTTACAAAACACATAATGGGATTTACAACTTTTATAGTGAAAGTGACCACTTCTTCAATGGGTTTTGTAAACCTGTTTTCACCGGAAGAGCAACTTGTAAGCATAAATAAATCATTCAGTGAACGTGCACCTGAAGTACATCACAATAAATATTGACCTATTAAGTTTCATAATTAACTACATGTATATTAAAATTTATCATTCACGGAATGGGATTTACCATTCACGGAATGGGATTTACCAAAAACCAGCAAACATATGACAGCAATTACATTACGTAATTGCTTGCGACTATTTTCTGATTTCTGCTTCATCATTCACCAAATACTGAATATGAACCCTCAAATGCAATAATCCTGTTCCTATTTCATCATGAAACAGCCACAAAAATGAATAATCCAAATCCCGCCATCAACTTCTACTCACTCATGAATAATTCAAATACTTCAGCGACCTCTTCGACGACGACAATTTCAGGGGGTACAAGTTATTTCAGACAGGGCAATGTATTTCAGCGATGGTAACCAAATTGAGCGATGGCAATCTACTCCTACGACGACGGCAACGTGATTTCGAAAAATCCTTTTTGGTGACTGTAGGAACTTGGATTTAGTTTCGTAGAAGGAAATCAGTTTCTCCCTTTCTCTATCGCATGAATACACTGCTCAATGTTCAGAGACAATCAGGGCAATTCGGTCTTTTGGCCGAAAATCTATATTCCAAATTGGTACCCAGTGCCCTATTTGTCATTTTGCTTATTCAGGTCCCTTATTTGTCTTTTTGGAATTCAGGTGGTATTTTGTTGTCATTTTCCCATATAAGATCCACTTCTTATATTTATCAATTTTCTCTAAAGTACCCCTATGAATACTCCCTCAACCATAATCAAGTAGAAGAGGAAGAGGGGGTATTAAGAAAGATGATTATGGTGTTTTAAGAAAAATGTGTAACTTTTCTTATAATTAACTAACTTACCTAACTTCCTTAATCTAATCAAATTAGTTAAATGGGTCTTATATTAAGGACCGGAGGAGTATTTTTTTTAAGCTTTTGATAATTACTAGTTTAGCCACTAAAAGATTGTACGTAGAAATATTTTGTTACCATAAATTAATTTTGAAATTTTGCTAGAATGAATTTTTAACTATTTTAATAGTACAATACTATGACATCAATTTATTAAGGGAATTATAGGCAAAATGAGAAAGAAAATACAAGTATATGATTATTTTTATCTAACTCCT